CTTCCCCACCCGCCTCCCGCCTTCCCCACCGAGGGGATCCGCGACCCCCCGTGCCCACGTTCCTTCTCCCCCGTCCGCCCCGGGTGTTGCGTGAGGTTGTTTCTGTATCCAGTGCTTATGTGTTGTATTAGTATTAGCACTGTCTTTTGCTTGAAAACAGTACATTTACACCTCCCTAACACACTCTGCTTTGTAACAATTCTATGTGTTTATAATCATGCAGACAGTGGAACCCAGAACAAAGATTTGTGAAATGGGCTTCGGCACTAGGTATGAAACTTAACCCCTTCTAGCTTTTTGGATTAATCGCTTGTGCGGTGTGGATGGCTTTCCAATTGGTTTAGATCATTAGTTCGAGGAAAAGCTATAGTCTTTTCAATAAATGATCAATATTTATGTTGTTTTCCAAAATAGTAGCTTGTAGTTGACTTGACAGAAATCACTCTTAATACATAAAGATTTTGAGTAATTTCCTGTATCATTTTTAGTCATACTCAACTTGCGTGAAAATTGCTTATTTTTTGACGTGTTCCACTGACACCCTTTGTCATAAAAATGTGACAACGTTACTATTTAAATGACATGTGAAAGAAGGTAAGATTTATTAAGATGTTGTAAACTAATCATCATTCTATCCTACGTTTGGAAAAAAAATACATTTTTTCCATGATTAATTTTAATTTTATAGGTTAGTTTTAACTTTTTCTGTCTTGCCTGTGATGCACTTATCTTCTTCATGTTTAATTGTTGTGACGCAGTACAAATACATTTTTTCCATGATTAATTTTATTTTTATAGGTTAGTTTTAACCTTTTCTGTTTTGCCTGTGATGCACTTATCTTCGTCGTGTTTAATTGTTGTGACGCAGTATGTAAAAAACTTGTAAGCCACTGTTTAAAAAAATGTATTTTTCTTCCTTGTTATTCCTTTATTCCTTGTTATTTGTGACTGTGTGTCAGTGGGGAATAAGTGCTTGTTGCATAAATGAGAATAGCCTGTGATCTTTAGAGTTTTTAATTGTTTAACAGTGAGTCTAGAAACAACAGAGCTGAAATATGTGCATCATGTTTCACGCTTAAGTGCTGGTTTAGGATTACAGTTTATT